GAGGGTACTAGCGTCGGGGGCAGGGGTAGTAGTGGCGGTGAAGGGGGCTGTGTTGGTGGCGACGGCGGTGTCGACACAGAGATGCAATGGCGGTGGTCGACGCGTCGGCGGTGAGGGCGGTATACGCGAGTTGTTCTCCCCGGAGCCAAGAGTGCGGATTGGCGTCTGGTCAAGGTTTGGAAATAAGGATTTTGCCAGTTAACCGAAAGACGTGAACTGAATATGAATTGGTAAATTTAAAATAAACGATCGTATTATTAATGTATTCTTAAGAGTGCCTTATAATTATTATTAAGTAGATTATCTGCCATGGAATATTCCATGTTGCCATAAAAGGATTTGTGACCTCTGCGAACTGAATTAGAGAGCATATTAAGTCGATGAATAATTTGGCGAACAAAAGATTTGTTTGGAGATTCTTGTGATTTCACCACCTCTGTTTTCATATTTGCCAACATTTGCCATACTTGTCATTGAGCCATCGTCATTGTTTCAAATACTTCATAGTTATAATTACTTCATCCTTATTTTCGATTATTAATCAATATAAAAATCCTCTCAGCTAAATGAACTCTTTCCACTGATTTGCTGAAAATAACTTGACGATAAATGCTAACGTAAACTTGGATGTTCCCGATGTTCATAGGTGTCGATGACAACGATTTACTATCTATAATTATTGTGGTAATGAATAATTATAGATCAGTTGAGGATTCAGAGGGCGAGGAAAGAGGGTATCTGCATAAAAGTTATGTCTTTTTCCTACACCATTGTTTGCGCGTCCGAGAGTAGAAGACGACTAATCTGTTACTTCTCAGGGAGGTATTTCTGGGTTAGCAGCCAGCTACTTATTACCCTCTCCGCTAAGGATGCGACTAACATCGGGAAATTGGGCGCCCAAGTGGTTGTTTCTAATTCTCTGCCAGGACCGCAAACAAGGACGACAGCAAATATTTTAAATTATATATTTCGATAACTCGCTAGATTAAAAGTTACACGTTTTTGCAATTCCTCGGCTTCCACGCAAACACGCGTAAATACATTTCGCAGGTGACAGATGTGGGATGCCCATTTCGTCTGACTGCACTTGAAACCAACAAAGCATTGAACATTTTTCTTTTTTCTCACCGACTACACGGGAAGGAAAGGTTTGTCTTTTCATTTAATATTGTCAGTACCACCGGTCACGGGACCTGACCGAACCGGGGTAACAGAAGCATGAAGCCCGACCGGGGTAACAGATTCTACAAAAGTGCTAACTTAAGTCGTGACCTAGGACCTCCCGGTCAGAGTCACAGCAGTTTACATCAGTTGATTCCCTGAGCCACCTCTCCTGGTCTAGTGCACGTGGGATCAAAGATCACCATTCTGGCATAGCAGCAATCAGCGTGAATATCACCGACAAATACTACATTAGAATAGTAGCGACCGAGTGCTGTACATTGCTGGGTAAAGAATGTGTACAATATTTCCTAAAAGAAAATAGTGTTTTCTATGATATGATTGAGCGTACGCACATTTTATATTATATTATTTTTTGTCATCAAAGGTTGCTCACTTACGGTGCTGTCTTTCGGTGCTGGAAAGTCTGAACACTCGTACGTGTTTTTTTTGACTGATTGATTGATTAATGATTCTGGGTACGGCAACTGCTAATGCCGTTAGTCCCGTAAATGTAGTGTATGTGTTTCCTCGAGATGAGACACTGCCCTTCCCCTTCTGAATGGTGAGATCCGGCGCCGATCTACAGTCGCCGAACGGGGTTTTCCCCAACCAAGCATCTCCCCCCAGCAGCGAGGCACCGCCCAACCGGGACAAGCTCTAAGCTCCCAAACGGTCTTCCAGTAGTGAAAGTGCATGTAAGTGAACGCGTATGTAAGTCAAGGGTGAGGGTAGAACAAGGAAGGGGACAGATAGCGCATGGTCCTTGGCCCGTTTGTAAAAGTACTGCTCCGGCATTCGCCTGGTGCTGCTCGATGAAACTACCGAAAAGAGCAGCAGGCGGCTAGAATTGTCCAGACAGCGACTAAGGTCAACCTATTTGACAAGATAGTGTCAAAAATCCTGCCACCGGGACCTAGGACCGCTCGGTCAGTGACACAGCAGTGGCATCAGTCGCTGCCCTGAGCCACCTCTCCTGGTCTGTACGTGGGAGCGAGGACCCAATCCCATGCGTGGGGGCCCTAATGAAGGCGCGTGATTTTGAGGCAGATGGCGGCCACAGGGACCTAGAATCTCCCGGTCAGCGGCACAGCAGTGGCATCAGTCGGTGCTATGAGCCACCTCTCCTGGTCTGTACGTGGGAGCGAGGACCCAATCCCATGCGTGGGAGTCCTAATGAAGGCGCGTGATTTTGAGACAGGTGGCGGCCACCGGGACCTAGAACCTTCCGGTCAGAGGCACAGCAGTGGCATCAGTCGGTGCCCTGAGCCACCTCTCCTGGTCTATACGTGGGAGCGAGGACCCAATCCCATGGGTGGGGGCCCTAATGAAGGCGCGTGATTCCGGGGCAGGGGGCGGCCGCGGCGGCGATGCAGGCGGCCTTTGCCGTGGGCGGGGCCGACGGAGCATTGCCCTCCGCGGGCGGTAACACCTGAGGTCTTGGCGCCCGCCCAGACAAGTGCGCATTCCGCGCCCGTCTAAATGCGGGATCCACGCTATCAAAGCCGACACGTGCGTCTATGGGACGGCGTTCCAAAATCTCTTCACATTTCATTTCCTCACGGGACAACTTCAAGGAGCGAATTCATGGTCGGGATTTGCTAGAATAAGGGAATCTTATAGCAACGAGAGGTTGCAGTCAAGGACAGGAAATCGTGCTTCATAGTTGCGTTTTGAGAAGGGGTCGTATAAATCATCACCGCCGTTACTGTCTGGCCACAATGGCTCAAATGTACCTCAGAAGGCACACAATTAAGGCAAAAACGTAATATATAGCAATATATACAGTATATAAAATATAGAGATAAAAAAATGTCAAATTGTATATTAAGTGGAATGAAAGTTTGTTTGAGGTTGAGAAGAGCATTAAAAAACAAAATAAAATATTTGATACATTAAATATTTCTTACTTTTTAATTATTTTCTTTAGTGCCTATTTCACAATTCACCGACTTTCGCAATCCATTGATTTTGTTAACTTCTTACTGATCATACGTTAGATGATGTACCTATGCGTCTGACGTGCTAAAATACTACAATATCGCACAAATAATTGTCAATGAAACAAAGACCATAGCGGTTGCAACTCAAAGCGACACGACCTTCACAGGTGAAGAGGAGGTTGAGTAACGAATATTTCAGATGGCAATATATCTTAAACTAATGATTGGTCTGATATTTATCTTTCTGTTTCAGATGACACTTAATGAAGTAGAAAAGGATTGAATAATTGACTATAAATTTGGTATTAAATAATAGGTGTAAAACGCGTCAGAAGCTTGCTATCAACGAAAATTACGGGAAAATTAAAAAAGCCATTTTATGGAAATTCATGCAGATAATATTCAACATTTACTTTACAAATGCTTATGAATACCTGATAAACGCGCTTGTGAATACTTTAATTATCCACGTTATAACACGTTACTAAATTGTGAAAGTGAGTATTCACTTAATATGTTATTTATATTATTCAGTAATGTCGTAACAGTGAACTATTTTCAGACGGCCAATGACGTATCAACGTTGGAAAGCAAGAGGATAACAATTTTTCATCTCTAAAGTCATAGAAGGCTCAAAGGTTGCTGTGTGTTTTTACATGATTTTTTTTTTTTCGTTTTCGTAATTATGTAAAATAGTTCTGTCAGTGCTGGAGTAAGTATTAATTCATTCTAGGGCAATCTTTGCAAGAAAAGTGTTGTTGTAAGATTATGTGACCAAGAATGCCAGATTATTGTGAGGATCTTTAAAACATTGTATGTTTTGTACTGGTAAAATCTGAACAATTTTTAGATTGCATGTCCGCAAAAAAAGATCAACAGAATGTATGATGAAACGATTTGCGTTTGCTGTTTCATTACTTCAACAAATGCTGATATATGTCGCAGTCAATCATCATTTATGAAGGAATTCTTTCAATGTTGTCAATTTTCATGTTATTGGTAATCACTTAATTTTCATACAACCACGAAAATTAATTTAATGATTAGTATTTCATGAAAACATAATATCAAATATATTCCACGTTATTCCAAGATGTTAACATAAAATATATACAATTACCCTATTTATTTGTTAGTCATAGGGATATTATTTTCTCAAACTTTACTCACCTGTCTGAACTTCAATCACATGACCATCACGTTTGTAGAACATCATACACATGAAGCCACTTTGGCTGCAAAAAATAGAAATTACAATATTAGAGTGATTACATACAAAATAGGGAGATTAAATTTCTATTTGTACGTCAAATGGTACAGCACAATTAAGGTTCAATCACCTCAAATTTACATCATTTAATAATGAAGAGTAAACACAAACATTTTTAAGATTATGTTTAGTTTCGATTCTTTTCATTATTCTCAATCCCGATATACTTTTATCTTCACTCTATGCACTCTCTTCATAAAAAATGGATTTTTATTAAATTCTCTAATGAGTTTTGCAAAGTACTTCTGCAATATACTTGGGCTATTTCACAGAAACACACTTTCCTTATAACACGATAGAATTCATAATTTTTTATTTTAATTAGTAGATTATGATTTTGCATAGTATATCTGAAATGCATTGAAAGGGTAAACAGTTGTATAAAAGGGAGACATTATCGCTCAGTCTTGTTGCAAGTATTATGCTTGTTGCCTTAACTAACGGTTCTTTAATATGAATGACTCACAATTAGCTGTTTCTGTAACTGAAATTTGATTTAAAGCAGAGAAATGTCAGTTTATTTAAAATTATGCAAGGCACTTTTAATTTTGATACGCAATTGTTCACAAAGAGAATATGTAGCAATAAAATGCAGTTAACATTGCGTAAAAATACAATGGATGAACAATTATTGCAAAGTTTATCTTAATTTTGTCCAAAATAATGTATGAATTATTGTGCCAAAATAATCTATGAATGATTTGATTGTAATGCCATAAATTGCTTACTAAAACTATTTAATGATCAGCCGTCATTTGTCCAATAAAATGTATCTATATTTGACTCAAATAAATTGTCTAATTCAAGAATTAACTAATTCCTTGATTACTAGATTGCAAACTGTACTGATTAGAATTAACACACCCAAACGTCGCCTGAAATGTTCTCAAAATCGGGGGCAAGGTCGTGTCGGGCAGACGGCACTCACCAGCCCATGGTGAAGTGCGCGACGAGGTGCGCCATCTCGTGCGTCTCCTGCAGCATGTCGGAGCACACGACGCGCATGTCCTGGTGCTCGTGCGGCGCGTCCGCCGTCAGCCCCAGCGACACCGCCGGCCCGCCCACGCCGTACCTGCGGGCGCAGCGCCACTTAGCACCAAGCGGGCCAACACGCACCAAATAATAATGACAATAATAACCATAATATTAATAATGGCAAAGATGATAGACAAATAGGTAGATATCCAAGAGGATAGACAGACAAGGGGATAGATAGATAGATAGATAGACAGACAGATGGATAGATAGACGGACGGACAGACAGACAGACAGGTAGGTAGATAGATAGATAGATAGATAGATAGATAGATAGATAGATAGATAGATAGATAGATAGATTGATAGATAGATTGATTGACAGATAAATAGGTAGATAGTCATACATATAGGTAGACAGATAAGATATATTCTTTAAATACAGGAACGAATGAGTATATACTTCAATAGCGTTATCACACATCATAAAACAAGATTATATAAAAAATGAAATAATGTGTCTTGTGAATTAAAATACATTGTAAAATTAATGACTATGAAAATAACCTCCTTAGCAGCGAAAGTCCTTTCCTGGCCCTCTGATTTTGAATTCTAAGTATGAACGAATTTTAATTCCGAATAAATACATTTTGTGGTTTAAATGTTTGTTAGTTAATATGCAGGCAAATATATAGTTCATGTTTGCAGCGTCATGCATGTATATGCACCACAATACTCTGAATGAAATATGATAGGTGTTAATGTCCCTTATTTCTTATTTTTCGAAAATGTTTTCTTTTAAAATGACTTATTGAGTGATTTACTTCCATTTCATTTAGGAATTATGGCGGGTAGAATATTTTTTGTATAAAGAATTAATTATTGTACTTGACAGTATGAAAAAAATATAATTTTTAACATTACTGTGTTAGATATGTAACTCAACAATAATTATTTATCAAAATACTTATAGAAAAAATTAAAATCAGTATTGAAATAGTTTGTTTTAGTGTAAAAGAAAACATTGCTATTAATGTCACGTTGTTAATGTTCACGTAATGTCACAAGAAACAAATGCCTGCACATAAATCGAAAATTATTTCAAAACCCTAATACCAATCGAATCAATCATTTGTGTAAAAATCCAACACGAACTTTCATCCTCTCATCCCGAAAATTAACGAAGAATGCCCCGCGGTTTTTCATGTCAGCTTACATACACATGAACGCGACAATTCTCACGAAACGCGCCGTTACCCGTCTGCGCCTGGGACGAGCTACATTTCATATTTTCACCGGCTGAAAACAGCTGTTTCCATCATGGCACGTGATGGAGGGTTCATGGCACGCCTCTCCCGCAAAAAAACAAAAAACAAAAACGAAAACGCGAAAACAAGCGAACTGATTCGGCGTGCGTCGCCCTTCATTTTACGACGGCGTTAACAAACAACGGGCAGTCGGCGTGCGGACAAGATGGCGACGCGGCGTCACCACGCGCCACGGGACGTGCGGTTGGCCTACGAAAGCAGTGGCCGGAGAGACTCTCGCGCAGGTCAGAAGGGGCATTGCAGCACTCGCAATTGTGTACTGAATTTCTGAGGAAATAAATTAAATAACTTAAGGTAGCTGTCTGCCTGAAAAAAATCAAGAATATTGTTTCAATTTTGTTTTCTCTTGAACATTTGATTTCTGTATGCTCTTAATGATCAAATAATTTTAAAAAATTGAGCAAAATGAAGGTGTTTACTTCAGACATTCTATTTCCACAACAAGTTGATATATTTTAATAATTCTTTTTGTAAATTAATCACAAACGTATGTTCTAGAGAAGGATTTAGATGGTACTATGAAAACTAAAGAGTCAGGATTTGATTATATGAAAAAAAATAATTGTTTAAAAGTATATTCTGGATATTGCTGGTTTCATTTGACTGAAACTTTTAGTTACACATTAAATAGTCTGTTAATTATCTAGGGGAAATTATGGGTTGAAAGCTGCAAGAAGAATTATATCATTATCTTTAACGGTTTATGACATACGATATTTGACATGCATGAATATGTTGGAAATTCACAATACGTGAAAAATGAATCTCAAGTTCGCTCTCTAAGGGCTTGACAGTTGGCACTCGCTTTGAAAAATCTGTATTTGCTCGAAAACTAAGAAACGTAGGAAGAAACTGTTTAAATTATTTAACAGAGAATAAAATAGAGCATCACTCAATAAATCAAGAAAAAGATAAAATTTCACGATGTTTCCTCATTTTAAGGTAGACAGGTACCTTAACACAACGAATTCTTAACCAAATAATCTTGGGGAAGGGTATGTAGGTAAGTTACTATTCTCATGAAATTATAAGCAGCCAAATATTAAATTTTCGTGTTGTAGTCGTAGTAATTATCAGTATAATTTGTTTATAATTTTTGCAATATCATATAAATAACATTTGTTAACATAATGATAGTTGATATTTTGTAGGAAGTGAAACATATCTAGCTGAATACATATAATAGAGAAAAAGATTTCGTTACAAAATTCCACTTTACATTTTTTGTTATTCATTCTCATTTATAATAATTATAAATAATATTAATTAATATCAAAATCAAAATAAGTAAAACGTATCGGGTATCTTAATTTTTTCGGAATACGGTTTTTTACAATGAAAAACAATTAATAATAACACAAAGATTACAGAATCATCAAATGAAAACTGTCCGACCGTCTCTTTGCAAATTGTCTGCGGAGACCGCTCGTATGATCGTTAAAAGTCAGTCAAAAACTTCTGGTCAAACTTCTACTCCCTTCAAACGGGTATTACGGGCCCAATGTTATATAATTCAAGAAAGAAGCAAATGATCGTATTTTGAATTGAGAAATTGTATCCTACAACAAACATCGTTCCACCCACTGAGAAAGGAGCACGTAGTATGCAAGTTAAAATTAAGTCAAGAACATCCACCTCCCTTTAATAAACGCATATCTTTGGTGCGTGGTAAAACGAACATTAGTAACATTTCGGTCATTTTTTGTATTTCAAAATTTCGTCGATATTGTCAAGAAAAACACTCTACAAACACAAAGAAAATCTACTTAATTTTTCACGATACGGGCGTCTTAAGAACAGACGTCAACGTTTCGGCCACCATACTGCGACCTTCCTCAAGACGAAATGCTCTGAGGAAATGTATTTAGCCCTGAGGAAGGTCGCAGCACGATATCCGAAATGTTGGTACCTATACCTAAGCATTTGAGAGGAAAAGATCATACATTTAAAACTTTGCGCCTAGGAAATAGCCTTATTCAATAAAAAAAAAGCCATGCAAATTTCTTCCCAGTTGACCACTCACTTCTTTCGAATAAAGTTCCTTGACGTAGGTTGTAAACTGCTTCTGTTAGTTTGGAGCGTCACCGAAAGATCGCATCAGCTCAAGGGGAAGCTCCTCGTACGAGAACATGTGTGGACAGTATCAAATTTCTTAGAATCCAGCGATTTCCAATTTAGACGCCACAAGTTCGCATTGTCATCAGAGGCGAAGTGCAGAAAGCTCAGTAAAAAACGTGTTGGATGCATTCAAGGTTCGATTCAAAATGTCCGATGTAATATTTCTGCAGCCTACTAGACAGAAAAAAACGACGTAATTCTTAACGAAACATTTAATTTCGACTGGACAGAGATAACCATGACAATATCTTCAATGCTCGTTTATTCTTTTTCCAAGTAACAATCTTTGTCAATTGAGTCTCGTATCTTTTCCGGAAGACTCATGAAAAATTATCGATGTTCCTCGCAGATCCTGCTAATTGCTCTCCCGACGTATCTACGAATATTTCGCAATCTCAACAATGCCCAACAATACCTAACGGTGCGACCACTGTGGCAATCGCAAGTACGCGCGCGCACATTCACACACACACGCGCATAACCTCACGTGAGCGCGGGGCGGCGGCGGCGGCGCGCGGCGCAGGGGGTGGAGGGGGGAGAGGGGGGGCGTGCGTGTAAATTATCCGCGCGACCGCACGCGCGTATGCACGGGGACGATACGCCGCCGCAGGCGCTCGCGCCGCCCTTATACATAAAAGTCATTGGCTGGAAACAGCGAACCCATTATCCAGAGCATAAAACATACACGCATAACTCGAGTATGTAAAATTAAAGAGCGGGGGGAGAGGTCGCGGCGGCCGACGCCACTCGCGCGGGCCGCGCGTCCGACCCGCGCCTGCCCGCTCGCCGCCCCTCACTCTCTTCCCCTCTGTGCGGATCAGCTCTCCAGTGCGACTTGCCCCGCTTGGCCTATTCCATTCCTTCTGTTCCTTTTGAGCGTCTTCGCTGCTCGCCCCGCTTGGCCTATTTCATTCTTTCTTTTCCTTTTGATCGTCTTCGCTGGTCGCCTCTTTCGCTCTTCGTAGTCGTGTGTTTCCTCTGCTGCTCGCCCCGTTTGGCCTATTCCTTTCCTTCTTTTCCTTTTGAGCGTCTTCGTTGCTCGGCTGTTTCGCTCTTCACAGCCGTGTGTTTCCTCTGCTGCTCGCCCAGCTTGGCCTATTCCTTTCCTTCTTTTTCTTATGCGCGTCTTCGCTTCTCAGCTCTTTCGTTCTTCGTAGTCGTGTGTTTCCACAATTGCTTGACGTACCTCTCTTTTACTTCCTTCACTCTTCCCTGTTCTGTTTTCTCGTTCCGTCTTCCTGCACTTTAACCTTAACGTAGTCTGCTGCTGATCGAACCATTTGTCCTATTCCAGTCCTTTTCTTTCTTCCTGTCTTTGCTGCTCGGCTCTCTCGCTCTTCACTGTCGGTGTGTTTCCGCTGCTGTTCTCCCCGGTTGGCCTATTCTATTTCTTCTGTTCTTTTGGCCATTCTTTGCTGCTCGGCTCTTGCGCTTTTCGTATTCAGTGTGATTCCCTTATTGCTTGACTTGGTAGGTTATTCGTATCTCTCCTTCACTGCCTTCCGTATTCCTGTTCTGTTTTCTCGTTCCGTCTCCTTGCATTTCAACCTTAACCTAGTCCGCTGCTCCTCGATCCATTTGCCCTATTTCACTCCCCCTTTTCTTTCTTTCTTTCTTTCTGAGTTCGCTGCTCAGATCTCTCGCTCTTCGTACTCAATGTGCTTCCGCTATTGCTTCACTCAGTTGAAATACTCAATTCTCTTCTTCGCTTTCCTCTTCTTTCCTACTCAGTCTTCTTGTTCCGCTTGCTTGCTTTTTTCCTCCCCTTTGTGAGCTTTTCCCTCTTCGATATTGCTCTTCTCCATCCAAGCCGCAGTCTGCATTCCCTTCCCTTGCCTCTTCCATTTCCCCTGCTCAGTTGTGTCAGCACTGCTCCTCATTTCGCATCATCTCAGATTACGAAGTCCTCTCGTATATTTCACATCAATTACTGGACACAAAGTAGTTTTGTTGTCCTCCACCAAGCTTAAATCTTTTTTCTTTTTTAAATCTAAGTTTAAGTTTTAAAATAAAAATATTTTATATACAAATATTCATAATCTTATATCATATTACTGTCAGGACGAAATGCTGAATATTGACTATTTTAGATTTGTTCGGTTTTACCATTCTTCACCATAAACACGAAGAGGAAAGTTTCATTTCTACTTCCATCAGTCTTCGTTCATCACTCCATCACGATTTATTCCACCTCTTACAAGTCATTCTTCTCGATTTTTTTATCCTTTTCCACCTTTCTAGCAGAGCACGATAAACAACTAAGTTGTTTACTAAGTTTACTAAGTTGTAAACTAACCTAGTTTCTTAACTTCCGCCTTTTCTCCCCTCTCGATTTAGTCTCCATGACGCAGACTCAACCGCCATCTGTTCACCTCTACATTTTCCTCCCCCCTATCCCTTCCACAGCATCGCTCCGCATTTCGGTTCTCCCTCATGACCCTCACATCCCGCTGCCGCCCACGTGCCGGCAAAGAGTAGACATTATTCACAGCACACCTCCCGTGAGACCACGTGTGCCCGGGTGTGCCTGCAAAACCCAAATTTTAAAATCACGCCAAGTAAAATACAATTACGCAGAGCGAAGAATAAAACCCATCTATACCGGCGAACGCAACGCAGTGCGCAGGTGCAAATAATCCCGGCGAAACGCAGACGCGGGAAGTACCGCGGTGTGAATTTTTAACGCGCTAATAAAAATCGAAATAAAAACGGGGATAATGTTGTGAAATGGAAGCGAAATCCGGACATAAACAAAACATTTCTGATAAACAGTAATGCAGTTTAGGAAAACCAATAACGTTCCGCCGACAAGGAACGTTCAGTATTTTCATTATTTTGAGAAATATTAAATCTCGTTTATAAAAACAGAGTTTGCAAACCGAAATCATTAACTTTGCTGGGTGGGAACTGTCACACAGCCAAAGCTTTCATAAAATCGTGAATAAAACAAATTGTTTAATAGAAGTAAATGAAGATTGGGAAAAGCGAATAGAAATTTAGTTTAAAGAGCATATACGTTTATTTGAACTCGATGGAAATAAAACTGTACGTTTAAACATCTGTGCTCGTTTTCTGACTCTTTCAAAAGACAGTAATAATGTCATCTCTCATAAAGAAGTAACGCAAACGGTCGTTTGCAAATTAAATGTAAATTGCTACATTTTTTAATGTAGCGATGTGGAAATAATATGAAAGCGTTGCTTATTAAAAGGGAAATCGTATTTCATCGGCAATATATGTATAAATTTAAAAATAAAAATATGCCCGGAGAGAAATTTTAATAACGTGGAAAAACTGGTGAACTGGTTCAAATAATAGTTACTCTTGAATTCTTATGATGTAGGGATTAAATAATTTATTACCTGTAGAAAATATATACAGTTGAAAAATTAAATATGGAAGTAATTAATCTGAATTCTGCTTAGTAAGGTTACACGTTGCAGGTATAGTAAGGCTCTCTAATCAGCGTGTTAGTTATTTTAGCGTTTTTAGGTCAATTATCCTATGATTTTGAACTTTTTATTCCAATATTATTGCGTATTTTTCATTTTCTTTTCGACCTCCATTTTGAGTACAAGGTTTCTGGAATTTTGTAAGAACACACTTGGCGTGCTTCATTATGAAAAACTGTTACAAAAGCTATTTATAATAAGTGTAGATCTCTTCGGCATTGGTGAAGTCAATTTAACTTGAATATTTTTAATTCACAGATAATTCATTTGATGATTCTGTGATCTTTGTGTTATTATTAATTGTTTTTCATTGTAAAAAACCGTATTCCGAAAAAATTAAGATACCCGATACGTTTTACTTATTTTGATTTTGATATTAATTAATATTATTTATAATTATTATAAATGAGAATGAATAACAAAAAATGTAAAGTGGAATTTTGTAACGAAATCTTTTTCTCTATTATATGTATTCAGCTAGATATGTTTCACTTAAATTTAATGTTTCTTCAAAATCTATTTGAATTGTTGGATATATATTACGGTACTGCACCGACATTTCAAACAGTTTTTGAAAGTTAAACTGTTTCAATTTCAAGGATGGGATAATGTGCGACTCCAAATCTGAATACTGCGTCTACTTAGAAACATGATCGTGGGCGGGATACGCCTAATAGAAATCACTAACATCCCTTAGGAGCGTATTTATTTATTGATAACTTCTTTTCTAGTTTTTAAATGGTAAAAGATCTGGAAGGAAGAGGCATTGTTGTGAAGTTGGCAAGAGTCGTTTTAAAATTTCAAATCATGGGTGAGTTACGCCATTGGCGTAGTCACCAAAACGATCAACATTTTATCAAAATAAAATAATGGTTGCAAGACAAATCTTCAACCGTAACTTCTTGCACATGCACATTAGAGATATAAGAGAGTGAATTAAATACTAACTGCTGAATGCACAAAAATGTAATGCACAAATAAATATAATTCGAATTTGTGAAGAAACTTGTAATTTACTCTTTCTATCATTTTGATTGATGCAATCTATTGCTAAGGCACTTGTTTGGCACTGTATATAGTGCAAATGTACCCGTAATATTGCCTCTGTAATGGAAGACTACACTTACTGAAAGTTCCTTAAAATATGCACCAAAAATGACTTGGGGAAAACATCAACCAAATTCTCATAAGTTCTATTGAGCGAAAACTAAGTGTAACTATGTAACTAAGTAAAACTAATATAAAAAGAATACGAAAATGTATTGATATCCATAGACAATCTGAAGTCGGATTAAAGATTAAGGAACACAGAATGAAAAAGCAAATAGGAAGTTTATTATAAGAATTATCACTTCTCACAACAAGTGTGATCGAGAAAGAAAGACAGAAAGAAAGAATGAAAGAAAAATTAAGAAAGAGAGAAAAATAATGAAACAAATAAATACAATCTATTAGAAAAACACATGAAATACATATAATGAAAAGGAAAACCCCGGTTTGATCCACAGATAAATGATTAATCAGATTATTTTCATATTTTTTAATGATGAATCACAAGGGAAAGGGAGGGGGAGGGGGGTTCACAAAATGAGGAGGAGAGAAGAGGTCGGAAAACGCAGAGAGGAGGACAATGGAAGATGGCACAGAAGAATGAAAGAGATCGGAGAGTGAATGAAGAATCGAGGCGGAGAAGAAAAGGAAGGCGAAGGTTGGAGGAGGTCGACAGATGATGGAAGATGGGAGACTATGGAGGGTCAAGAAATATGAAGTATGTAAGAGGATTGATAGCAAAGAAGAATGCAGATTAAAAGGGGGAGTAAAATGAGGAAGAATGGGGGATGAAGGAAAATGAAGGTTAAGAAGAATGGCGGATGAAGGATGATGAAAGGTACACAAGGATGCAAAGTGAATGAGAATAGAGAATGAAGAAGAATGGAGGGTGAAGGCGGATGGAGAATGAAGCAAGCCGGAAGGGTAAAGGAGAATGGAGAATGAAGCAGGCTAGAGGATGGAGAATGGGTGGTAATGGACAATGGAGGGATTAAGAATGATGAATGGTGAAGTAGGATGGAGAGTGAATGAGAGTTAAGAATGAAGAGTACGGAGGGTGAAGGCGAACGGAAAATGAAGGCTGGGGGTGAAGGAGAATGGAGGGGTTAACAACGATGAAGGGTGAAGGGGGATAGAGAGTGAATGAGAATGGAGAATGAAGAAGGCTGGAGAATGTGGAGAATGGAGGGTAAAGGAGAATGGAGCGGTTAAGAACGATGAAGGGTGAAGAAGGATGGAGAGTGAAGGATTATGAAGGGTGAAGGAGGATGGAGAGAGAATGAGGAGAGAGAGAATGAGAATGAAGAATGAAGAAGGCTGGAGAGTGAAGGTGAATGGAGGTGTTAAGAATGATGAAGGTTGAAGAAGGATGGAGAGTGAAGGATGATGAATGGTGAAGGAGGATGGAGAGTGAATGAGAATGAAGAATGAAGAAGGCTTTAGATTGAATGAGAATGGAGGTTAACGGAGAATGGAGGGGTTAAGAACGATGAAGGGTGAAGGCGGATGGAGAGTGAATGCGAACGAAGAAGGCTAGAGGGTAGCGGAGGGCGAGTGCGAAGGAGGAGCACGGTCGAAGGGCAGAGGGCAAAGGGCGGAGGGTGTGTGTGTGTGTGTGTGTGTGGTGCGAGTACTCACGCGGGCTGCTGCGCGGCGCCGGCGCCGGGGCCTCCGGCCGGCCGCAGGGGCGCCGACGCGTTCGAGATGCGCAGCGTGTAGTTGCGGTGGCTGAAGGCGTAGATGCGGCTGTAGTCGAGCGTGTGCCAGTGCAGCGACACCGTCAGCCACTGCGGGAAGCGGCACTTGAGCGGCGACGCGGCTGCTGACACACAACGCACCGTCAGCTGCAGCCCCCCCGCGCACGGGGGGGGGGATACTACCATCACATCATAGCGCAGCTTCATTTAAAAAAGCAAGAAAAATTGTTTAGGAATGAACAATGCATTTCAGTAGCAATTATTAAATGCAGTACCAAGCGTACTGGGCATCAAACAACTAAGAAATCTGCAATAGCTGTCAACAATACATATTTGATAAATGATTTTCTTAAAACAGGCCCTAAATACAGTAATACACTTGATAATTATATTTGTTCAAAGAATTGGTTGCTCCGACCGGGCTTCGAACCCGTGCCTTCTGGTTTACGCCCAGCTGCTCTAACCACTAAGCTACCGAGACAACCAATCCTTTGAACAGTTTTCACGAGCGCGATAATCGCTCCTCGTATATATTATATATGATTGTGACGGGATGGTGACAATTATATCTAATATACTTGTTTAAATATGTTCCTACAATAAACCCCGGTGAGAAGGAGACTGCGTTTCAATACTGCTGCTTTCAAGGAATTAGAATTCAAATTACTGTAACTGAAACACAAGTGTAAAAAGTCACCGAATTGATGCGGTGCCTACAAATATTCGAGACACATCTTGAGGAACCGTGAAATCGTTATGTTCGGCCTTTAAAATATAGGCGAATGTAAACTACATGAATCCTAATGCCCCCACCTTAATTCCAAAATCAATGATATATTTTAACATTTTAATTTTTCCGATTTTCAAACTGACATTTGATGAAAATTATTGTATAGAAGGAAACAAAGGTCGTAGGTATCATAGCTGAAAAGCCAGTTTCAGATATTCTCCCATCACAAACGCGAAGTACTTCCTCAAATCTCCCAGTTGAAGTACTGTTCTATTACGCACAAATGTCGTAGTCACATAATTTCTCGGTTTGAAGGCTGGGCTTTCATCGCTCATGGGTGTTGACAATGACAAACAGGTATTCAAGAATACTTAGGGAAGTACAATCAGCGGGAGCTTTAGATAGTTAACACCTTGTGTATTGATGAATTGATTTTCTCGAATAATTGGATTGTGTCAGAAAGTGATTTATGGATGTTTCCAGCTCTAGTAAAGTGCGCAGAGACTACCTGTCGCCGAAATGCACTATAATGTATGAATGTTTAAAGGAATTTGATTAACAATATTATTATCTAATATTTAGTTATGTTATAAGCTATACGTGAGTGAAATTTAAAACATTTTATAGAATAATGAAACACATAATTTTTAAATTAGAATTTACGCACGTATAATACAAATAGTCCACATTCTGCACTTGACACAAACCATTTCGAGTAGGTACATTCTTATATTCAATACATCTGTTTTACTAATTTCTAATGAGCGGAGAAATTGAAAGAAATACAAAAGAAAGAAATTGTAGTCTATGCCTTGTTAGAGACTTCTATCATTAGATTTTCAGAACGGCGGATTAAAACCCCAAAACAGTTTCGAATTTTACAGAAAAATGTAAATGTTTGATTGTGTTAATTCGCCTATTATCATACTTAGTATGTCCTTGTTTACATCATACCTAACGTCATGTCACAGCAAGACCTCAAGAAGGAAGGCCGCCTATTATTTAATACTTGCTAGTCACGTGTTGTGCTAACAACCATTTTGCATTCTTAGACTGCAAAAAACTATTGTACGTGTTCACGCTATAATATGTTATTGCAGATTTCGTGAAGACTGTTTGTCAAAATATTTAATTTATTGCAATGTTATGCGAGGGTATTTGTTGTTTTGAGCAATGTACGTGTTACTTTATGGAAAACCATTTTGTGTGGCTTTCTTCAGCAGCATTTTTGCAGCAGCCGGACACTTCTTATCCCATCCATCTTTAAAAGCTTAATTTGTTTTTTTATTATTGTTGTTTATTATAATTTAACATTCAATTCTTCAGAACGCCCAGGGCAGAGAAGACGCTCCGATCCGCCCGGCCTGGTCCGCGGAGTCGCCTTTGGGGAGCGCAGCTGTCTGCTCTCGGTCACGTCCGCCGACAGCCCCGGCGCTTTGCAGCCTCTCGGCACGCGGACAATGGCCGAAGCCCAATGACGCCCTCCCGAAGAGCAGCGGCCTCCGCGCGACCCGATCGGCCTCTCTGCGCACAGCGCGCGCTTTGTTCAGGCGCAGCGAGTGGCTGCGCGCGCGCAGAGCCTGTCCCCGCCTCTCCACCGCCTCCTCCTCGCTAGGGATGAGACATCGATGGCGATGTTCTCAAAAAAATCTATGTTGTATAAAACCAACTATTATTGTAGAAAATCATCGATTGTTGTTGAAAATAATCGATTGTTGTATAAAATAATTGACTGTTGCCTACAATTATCGATTGTTGAATACAATAATTGATTGTTGTATACAATCATCGATTGTTGTATAAAAGTATTTTAAGCAGATTTTTCACATTAATGTTTTGTGTTCGATATTTTTACATGGTCCATATTTTTTAAATGAAAAAGTCCATCCATAAAAAAAATCTACAATAATTTTCAGATATCCATAAGTTTTATAATCTTCAAGCCGATGTGACCAAGAAAGAAAATAAATAAAATCGATTTTTCCTCAATAAATAATCCTATATTTTTTGAAATTCTATCGAATCAGACAATTTAAGTCGTTATTACACTGATGATTTTTGAATTTTTTTTCTCAGTTAAATCTCAATTAAAAACTAATAAACGAGATCACATTCAAATCAAATTCCTCCTGCGGGAAGTTCAATAGTTACAAATCGTTGTTTAGAAACGTCGATGTTTTGTTGGTAATGTTACACTCCTAGTCCTCACTCGCGTTCGATCTTTCTGCTTATCAGCTCGGGGACGCCGAGATGACGTGTTCAGGTGGAGAAGCCGTGTGACCATCGTGTTCGTAAAACATATAAATGTCATGTTTTTACATTTTAATCTTTGTAGAAATTTAAAGTCACGAGGATACGAGAGAGCAACTTCAACAAATTATAAAAGTGCACATTATTACGTTTTCTCTTACAGCTAAAAATGAGAACATGGAATTTTGATATATATACCAAATTATCCGAAACAATTTTGGGTCCTACGGGTGTAACAGAAGTTTCAAACATTTAGTGACAGAATCTGTTTTTTGATTTTTTTACATCTGAAAAAAAATTTGCATATATAAAATACCACCAAAAAATGAAACGATTTGCATTAAATGGGAAAAAAAAGATTGCAATTATTTGTTGTTCTTATATTGAATCTTGGGTTACTGAGGAACAGTTTGTAAAAGTACTTTGTTGAGCTTTGTTTCTGCTTGTCATTAACCACAAAAATTCGGCCAAGATCAAGTAATAATGTTAAAGATGATTTTTCTTTTTTTCATTAGTTATCTTGAATAAATGCACTTATTGTTTTACTTTTCATTTCTTAGTTTTTTAACATAATTTTGTAGTAATTATTAACTATTATAATATTTTATTATATTCAACAATAACTAGTATTACGCAGCAAAAACGTACATGATGGTACTAAACATACAAAATTGCTTAATATCCATGACTTTTTGCAGGTAGTTTATTTTATAATTTCTTGCATCTTTGTTGGGAGCGAAGTCTCTCTAGTTCTGAGATAGAGTTATCCGAAGCTTTGATCGGTGCTTCCGCCGTCTCAGCACCAGCTGCTTTCCTGATTGAAAACTAATTCGAGGTCCTCCGTGTGATGAATACTGACATCGTGTTTGGTCGCGATGAATACCGTGTTTATTCGCGTTTGCGCGGGCAAAAACATTTCAAACAGCGTGGAAATCTGTTACTTCGGTTACTTTCTAACTTCATGAATATCGTTCCGGCTGTCACAAAGCTTCTACAACAATCTACTACTGACCGGTTATGCGCAGAAGCTGAACGCTAATTTCTCATGTTTGTCGCGCTTTTGATTGCTACATTAAAGCTTCCAATGACCCAAAGAAATAAAACCAATCTGACGCAAGATTTAAACTGTTTTTCAGTCTGCCACGTGTCTCTATTTTAACCGCCATTGAAAGCGCGTATAAATTTCCAACGTTAACTATTTGAAGGCAGTAATTTGTTGCATTCGACAAAAACCTTCTCAAAGCTCTTTCTTCTTCTATTTTTCACAATAAAAATTACATTTAATTATCATTGATAGTAATGTAAAGTACATAATATTATTTCTTCATTAAACTATCTAACATATTTTTTTAAAGGGATTATTTGTAATTCTTTGGCTGCCACATCCAGAAAACATTTCACCAGTCATCTATAGAAAATATCTAATATTTTGATTGCATTAAAGTAATTTTATACTAATTATTATGCAAAAAATTACATATGACAAAAGGGATCTGAACAGTACCTCAATGTATTTTTTTAAAAATAGAGTGTATGTTTTTAAACAAGTTTGAAAATTCAAATAGAAGTGAATGACTTCGATGTTAGTCCACAGATACCAACATAAAATGAAGTATCTACATGGCTAGAAAATCAACTCTTAATTTCTTAGCTGAGTATACACGAATGTAATATTTCGTAATTTGTAATAATGATGTTCATTATAAATTAAAACAAAAAATCTCTTATGTTTAAATGCCACTACCTTTTCATTTAGAACATTAAACAGAACATTTTTTGTAGAAGAAATCTAATTTGACTTTCGTTTGAGAGCTTGAAATCGCAGAGTGGAAGGTCAAATTATAGAAATTAATTAGATGATGTCAAATCGTATTACTATTTCAATTGCAACTTACATTGAGATAAATATTCAACGAAAAGCAATTAATAATGTGAAATAAGCAAACTACAAATTAAATAAAGCTCTTCAATAGATGTATTAAAACATTAAGACCCGAAGCATGCAAATGGTTATTATTTTCCCATCATCAGTGGCTCTACAACTAACAGTGAAGACGAATCAATTTTTAAAAGAAAATAAGTACAATTGAGTATACTACAACAAATAAAATGATAAACAATTAGCATACGAAAACCGAGTTAAAATGAAATACATACCCAATAGCGTTTATAACAATTAAAATCATATTATCTTTATTATATTTCTGTGCCACTCCTCATTTCTTTCAAAGACATCACAACTACGCTTGGAAAATTCATAGGAAGAATTTAAAATGCTGTTCCAGAACGTATATTTCTGGTCAAATAATTAACGGCGCTTACAGAACCACTAGCCACCCATCCATCCTCAGGTGAATCACTTGTTGAAAGAGCGCAAACATGTTCCGCAGCCACCCG